GTTTGTTTTTTTCACAACCACACGGCGTTTTGGATGAACAGGGAAACGCTTTTAAGGCTACACAATGCAACTTGGTGATTTATCATTCGCCTCCAAGTTATGCGTACTGTGGGTTGTAAAGCATGCAACTCAGGATACAGGTGCAACTCATTTTTGTTTGCAGACATCACTTTCCAGCGTCTGTGTTCAGGCTAGTTAAAGCATTTTTATGTCGAATTTTTATCGATTTCTGAGAATATCTCTGCGGAATACACATAATCCAGTCCTAATTGTGACCGTTGAGGGACTTAAAGTCTGTACTATATCAGGATTTGGTAGACTGACGTTCTTCAAGGCAAGTTAATCAGTAGTTTCGCGAGTAATAGGAAATTGGACGAAATTTTGCAAGAAGCATCAATTTTATTCCGTAGCAACCTGAAATAATTCTAGGATTGAACACAGTTGCACGGCTGAGAAATGCGCGTGGCTCTACGCAAAAAGCACGAGATTATAAAGTTTTTTGGGATAAGCCACGATGTAAAGTATTCCAAAAAATTCACCGTCGGGTTGCCCAACACATGTGAAAATGCAGAAGTTAGTAATGTAATTGTATAAAAGTATAAACGTTTTATAGATATCAGTCATTTGTCTTGACTTTGTACGTATGTACAGTCTGTTTGGTCCAATCTATTAGGTTTGGTGAGATAAACGGAAGATTGACTTGTCAGATTCTCCAAGTTTCTGACAACAATGGCTTCAATCGCGCAAGAAGAAAGATAAAGTATTTTCTGGGTGTTTTCGAAACAGTCTAGAGTCACCCGAGAACTGACGCAGTCTATGGGGACGCGCACATGAGTCATACTCACTCACATATGTATAGTCAGAATCTATCCATTTTGATCATCGTAGGAGAGTGAGCTCTACTCAAGTTTTCAGTAATTCCCGAGAAGCTATCACAACCGAATACACACAGATGCTATTTGTGGATTTGCATTGTTTTAAACAATTAGTAGTATGTTAGACACAAAACTATTTATGAGAGATTTCTTGTGTAAGTCAACCAGGGAGCCAGATATCGTTGTAGGAATCGAAGTGGTAACAGTTATCAACATAAAATCAGTCTTTTCATGCGTGATCACGTGACGTGGGTCCAAAGATAGGGTGAGAAGTTGCACTATATCGTGCCTAACTGCAATTTAGTCACAGTTCTGATCAGTCATTCATTCTTCAAACTACTGGCGGAGAGGCCACGGATTCGACTCTCCCTGGAGTTTGGTGAGATGCTGATCACCTCCAATAAGGATAAGACATTTTCCAGGGCTCCCCCCTTTTCGGCATAGACTGGGTGCACCTAAAGGACGAAGTCTTTATCTTCAATTTACCAACACCGATAACGTTACCGATCGGTGGTCTCCCTTAGTTTGCTCTAGCGATAACCCACTAAGCAAGGTCGTAAGCAATCTCAGTTTCAAGAACTATACTAACGGCCTAGTCACCACATTACAAATATATACATGTATCGCGATATTTCAAAGATCGTAGCGACTGAAACATGAGGCGGCCTGGTGCAGCACATTCAGTTGCCTGAGAACATCATGAACGAGGGATTCAGCTGGGTTCCAGGTGGGTCTCCGGAAAGAACCAAATTAGTTTGCAGATGAGTGTATATTCGCTAATACTCTGTCCTTGTTTGGTCGACTTCGATTCGCGAATCGAAGAATCACGTGACAGTACCGAAAACTATGATGAGTGTTAGTTTTAAAAACACGGACTATTATATACACTTGTTTGGATGCTGATCGACCCGTCTCTCACGTGACCGTGTGACTGACTGCACGGACATCATCAAACGGAATTCTGTCGCTTAACTTCCAAGCACAATATTGATATGGTGAACAGAAATCAGAGTGGAAAATGGAACTAAGGATTCCCGAACGTCTGCACGCTACTGACAAACTACTGACAGCTCACAGGAAGAATAAGACCAGCTAGAAATAAATAAATCAGTTAATCAGAGGGAAAAACATTTACTACTCACTCCACCTTGCACGAAAAACTAGCAACTTTTCAACTCTGGACTGAAATTTTCCATGATGATCAGTTTGGAAATTCGGTCAATGTTTCGTCTCCCGGAAGTGGGGAGGGGGGAGGAAGTCACACCAATGTTTGTTGGTCTGGTTTGTGTTTTATATCAATCCATTAGCGTGTAGAGTGAGAATCACCGTGATTGCCTCGAAGGGTGACTTTGTTATGCAAGTTACTCAATCCACAGGCTTTTCTGGTTGGGTAAACACGAATTAGCCGAGAAGATAGCGTTATTAGTGAAATAAACCTGCATAAGTATGGTCGCTGATCACCACACGACGACCAGTAATCTGCAGGGGGGTGTCACAAACACTGGACCATTCAGTTCAGGGGAGATTACACTTGTAAGTTAACTTAGTGTTACCTTGCATATCAGCGGAGTCCTAGAGACCCCCAAGAAAACAGAAATCCATACGTTTCATTAAGGAAACTACGCACAAGGTTGCTGAAAACCAAAATGGTTTGCAAATTTATGCATTTGTCGAAAACAGTGCAATTTCGGTTCAAGTAGAACAAAAGGTTGACGGAAACTCGGGGACTGTGCCTACCTGATTAGCCCAAAGAAGGGCGAAACCGGTCGTGGGCTGTCGAAGAGTTTTCAGCAACCTTGTGAGTAGTTTGCTTTATGAAAATATACTGCAATATCTCGAATATCGTGCCAACTGAAACATGACGCGGCCTGTGTGCAGCACATTCACTTGTTGAATATCATAAACGAGGGATTCAGTTGAGTCTCTCATGAAAACGAAATTGATTTGCAAATGAGAAGCCCATACTGTTCCACAGCAACTGTATTAGTTGTGTTCGGTCACGATATAGTCCAGCAAATTTGTATAAGAGGTATGAAGAACACTGAAATACTGTAGGACGCAGAACTCCGTAGTTCAGACCAGGCAGATTGACTACGTTGAATAACACTAATCAATAAGTTACGAATGAGTACTTTTCACGTTGGGTAAACAGTATCCCACACGTGTTTTGCGACTCCTTTTAAAGGGTGAGTTCTCAGAGGGCTGCTTGCGTAATCATGTAATGTTAACAACGTGGTCGGTGAGAAAAAAGCGTTCAGCTGTAGCACCCTTCCGGTGTCTAGCTGCCACGCCACCCGAAGGAAGCACGAGGGCTGAGATACTGTCAGGCTGCCCAAGCCTAGACAGGGGAAGCTGAGAGGTAGAGGTTGGGTTCGAACCATGGACCTTCTGGTTAGAAAATTCGCGCTCTAACCAATTGGACCATCTCGCCCCCTGGTCGTGGTCGGTAGCTGTTTTGAAATCATTCTCACTGCTAATCGATCATCTCCAAACAGATGGCAATGTCGACTTACCAACAGCTAGGTTTTGGGTTCGAGTCTGTCGATTATTCCCAAGATGGAGTAACACGTTTAAAAGACACTTTGGACTTCCATGATAGGTTAATTTTGTCTGTATTGAGTAGTACAATTTCCAGATTGATGAAATCGATTTCTTGGGCTTCTTATGACAGTTCAGCTACACGTGAATGGCCAGGTTGTTTAGCTTACCTCAAGATTCACCTGTTACAAATCAATCCAGGGGCTTGAAATCTTACAACCACTCAAGGTTCCAGTCCTAACTGGGAAATTTCGGTAGCGAGTGGAAAATTTCAGTCACCTGTCAGACCGCACATGTCCAAACTTCAAAGATATTGTGTAAACTTACAAGACCCCTGTGCGGCAGTCCGTTGTATACCGCTTTTCTAACAATATTGGGATCTTTTCCAGATAAGCCCCGCCACTAATGCAAAAAGTGTATATGCGGAAAGTTAAGCTCCGACAATTTTTGCCAGCTCCAATTTAATGTACACACACAACCTTGACCTATTTTTGATGAAAACAATTCCCCACCCGCATCTAGGCTCATTATGTGTAAAAATTTTCTCCGTTCGGACGTAAAACCTTAACTGAACTTTCTGACGCTTTCAACTCTCGTTCATGAAATGAGACGGTAATACGTTTTTTGCAAAGCCACGGAGTGATGCATCAGCAACAATGGTCATCAAATGACACTCACAACTGTTTCTGACAGGTGGAGCTGTAATGCCCGACAGTGTCAGGTCTTCGAAAGGGAACTTGCCTGGAACGTTCCAGGATGGAGTTTAGGACAGTAATTCTATTCAGTTGTTGCTAGTCCCCAAAATTTGGCAAAAATCAAATTATGCTCAGGGGAATTATCAATTACCCACACGACCGTCGTTGACTGGAAGAACTTTCTTCGCGAAGTTTGCGCCTAGCGACTTTTGCAGACTCCAACAGTTACCGGGGGCCCAGGTCTACACATCGATATCGGTGAAATGCTAACATCTCACCGTAATAACCACGCACGGCGAGTCTTTCTCCAGCAGTGGATTTTCGGAGGGATCTGCCGGGAAAATAAAGAGGTGTTCATGTATGCAGTGCCAGATCGAACTGCCGCCACTTTGATGGACACAATCCAGGCCTGTATCGCTCTGGACTCAATCATCATCTCCGATATGTGGGTATCATACCAAGGAATTGAAGCGATGATTGACATGAATTATATTCATGAAACGGTTAATCATACCAAAACTTTGTGGATCCAGCTACTGGAGCTCACACACAAACCATCGAATCTCTTTGGCACGTCTACAAGATGCAGAATAAACGCCAATGCGGCAGGCACCGATCTTTAGTGGACAGCTACTTGTGTGAGTTCGTTTAAATGCAAAGTTACCGAAAAACGGACCTTTCCGTGGAAATTATTAATGACACGTCCCAATTTCAACCTTTTCAATAAAAAATAAAAATACAAGTTTCACATCCTCTTTTTTCTAATCTTTTTTGGGTGGCGGGGGTTAATTTTTTGGCGGGGCTTATCTGGAAAAATATCGGATGAATCAGTCGAAACTTTATGCTGTTTGGCGAGTCACTACGGTCTCCAAACTTTTGTACTACGACTTACCGACATCGTTTTTGGTCGAACTGTGTCCCCAGTGAAGCAGAGAATTGTACGATGTCTGAGGTGTGACGGATGGTTCCGTGATGAGTTTACTATCTGCATGTATATCCGGATTAGACTTGGATTCGCTCTTGTCAAGTGTGAGCAGTATGGACGGCAATTCCAAATCAAACAAACTACGGGAAGCAACTTCCGACACACCATGTTTATCCGGATTGTCCATAAGCTGGGACTTTATGGGGGGCATAGCAACCGGGCGACCAGCGCCAGGTGTGTCTAAATGGAGAGCTTTATTTTCAATCTGATCCCGGTCATCATATCCAGACATGTTCTTCTGTCATTTTGCAAATAAGTGCAGTTTGGGAGGCATCGAATCTCATGTGCTTTCACACAGTGGGAGCAGCTTTCTCAAATCCAACCTAGATACTACTGACTTTTTTCCACATACCGGAAAGCACATGCGTCATCTCTAATATACCATGTCTTAGAAAATGCAGGTGTTTTTGGCTCGTGTGCGGCCTGCCACGCTGGTATGCCGACGCATAGGATAGTTAATCTAGCCAATGATAGCATTCGGGCAAAACTCTCTTCCTGTTGGTGAATCGCTGGCCGCCAGATAGATTACGAGATTCGGTACGCACGCACCTAGTCACGTGTCATGGGCCAAACGCACGCGCACATACTTATTCACGGGCAGGTACAAAAACTCCGGCCTAGTGTTTGAAGAAGAGAAAAAGGAAAACGCGTTGTGTTAACTTAACATGTCAGGCCCGATGTCCTTGCTTGTGCGCACACGCGCGCTCGCGCCAGCCCACTAGTGTGTGTAAAGCGTAAATAATCGGCCAGGAAAGGTGTACATGTTTACGCGTGCGCCCCCATACTGTCCGCGTGTCGCCATTTAGCCAAGCAAACTGCCATTAGCCTAGAATCTAGGTCATACCGTTACTCCGTCACAACTCTTGCACGATTTATGAGGACTACCAAATGGGAAAAAACTGGAATGGATTGCCACCTGTATGAATCAGCGTGTGATGAGTCATCCGCTGGGTTTTTTTGAATTTTACGCAACCATACAAAGATCGGATGACGGAGTAGGGAAAAACGAAAATTTCGAAGTGTATTATACTGTGTTGGATAGAGCACGCCGTGCATCTTTAACCCGGTCTGTTTAAATATTTGTACGGTAAACCACAGTTTCCTTCGGACCTGCCATCTGCTTGTTACTCCGTATTCATCCCTCAGAACGTCACTTTACTAACCCGTCCAGGTGGATCGGAGGTTAATGGTCACTCGAAAGACAGACAGACAGACAGACAGACAGAAAGACACAGAGGAAGGAAGAGAATCGAGTCTGCGACCTCTCCGCCAAACAGTTAATCGACCACGAGCGGCTAATCAGTAAGGTGATTAGCTCTCACCTAGAAAGGATAATATCGCCACTAATCCTTCAGTTTCGACAATAATCGCACATAATCACAAGATTCACACCCTATGCTTAGACTCACCGCAATCCAGGGTGAAACCTTGAACCAGGACTGGAGTGAAATGGACTTGTTTCTGTCAAAAGCCCTTTGATGTTCAGTACGATGACATGGCTGCAAAGCATTGATTGTGTGCAACATACCGATCGGGTGTCTGGTGTAGTTCTGCCTGACTTTGTTGACGGACTGTCGGTCATAAGATGTAACCAGTACACAGCGATATTGCAGGACAATGACATAGCTACCGCTTTAATGTCTCTGGGGCGATAATACTCCCACTAGACAGGGAACAGGGTCCCGGAATTGGTCAAGGTTCACATGGGTGATCACACCGAAGCATACGGCTGACAGGTAGAACTGCATACTGGACATTCACAGTATATGATGTTGAACTATATAATGTATTTGAAGTAACAAGTTCAAGTACAGGTAGCCTGGATTCGCACATGAATCCCCAACCCTTTCCCGACTGAGCTTTCTAGAGTGATCGCTTTCTGCTAAACCTGCGCACCTGAAGACCACAGCTAGGATTCTACAACTTTGCTTGATGGATTAACATCCGATATCTGTCAGCGCCGTTAGTCAGCCCTTCTAACCATTTTACATTCAAGTCAAATGGTTCAAGTAAGATTGACGGAAACTCGGGGACTGCGCCTACCTGATGAGCCCCAACAAGGGCCAGACCGGTCGTGGGCTGTCGGAGAGTTTTCAGCAACGCTATGAGTAGTACATTACGTACATACACGTATCGAGATATCTCGAATATCGTAGCGACTGAAACATGAGACGACCTGGTGCAGCACATTCAGTTGCCTGGAAACATCATAAACGAGAGATTCAGCTGGGTTCCAGGTGAGTCTCTCGTAAAGCCAAATTGGTTTGTAAGTGAGTAGTGAGCAATTTTGTGAGTAGTTTCCTTTATGAAAGTCAAGTGCTTGTTGAAAATAGGTTGACAGCTGTTTAGGCCAAGAATCTCGATTTGTTAAACTACCTTAAAGTGCGTGATTTTCTTCAAGGTCAGAGACACAAGTCCAAGCGAAAAAAACACAAAAAAGGATATTTCCGTGTGAAGGTTACGCCTGCTTCCAAAAATATGAACAGAAAGGTTTCGCCGTATCATAGTATTTTATAAAGAATTAGCGCACACAAGCAAGGGACACGTTGCACCGAATTCACCAGAATCTCGGGCGAAGAGCATCTGATTCTGTGAATCACTGCTAAACAAGTAGAGGCATACACTGAATTTTTTTTGAATTTTTTATCTGTGTGGTTTGCCATTGTTTTGTCTTTTTTTCGCACCTGCAAACTGATTTTAAAAGAACTCAGTAACCGAGGCACTTTGTTGTTTATTCTCTTCTAGCTTTCTATGGTGAGAACGTTTCTTTTCAGAGAAACAACCTTCTAATTCGTTTCCCTTCATACAAGTTGGTTTGATGACTCTCAGTGGACCGGCTGGGTTTCCACACCTCGGGGCAATTGCGTCAGTGTGAAATGAAATTCCGCAACCTGGACTGTGGGTTCCGGATAGATTTTTCCATTGTATACATCCTTGTGACCTGAGACCTTCGATTTTGGTGCTCATCCATCATTCACATCAGGTTTTGTTCTTTAAATAGACTACCTGATTGTTGTTACTATGGCGGTTTCACGCGATCGATGGTATCCTCCGCTGATATCAAAACAACTCCTCTATGGTTGAAGTCGGCTGACCAAAAACCGGAAGTGTATAGGAGCTCCCCTCCCTCCAAAAAGTACTCGAACCGGTCGCGCTTAGTCGTATCACCAAGCTCGTCTGGATACGCAGCCCAGTGATACGCGTGACTGATGTGTGTGCGCGCGCGTCTGTATGCATTTGTGCAGAATCACACGTTAACACAAGTGATGAGGCATATTACATCCAAAACCTTGATTGAGGTAAAGATTCCTCAATTTTTTTCTGACTCCTTGATGCATCCAATCTGAAGATACACACTAGTCATCTTGTAAACCGTTCACCGACACATGCCAGTCACATGATAGTGTCATATTCGATCCAATCAGATGCGACCAAGAATAGCAGTTTTGCATCACAGAGATGGGTGGGGATTGCGGAGAAGTCCAGAAAACCTACGTCTCTCACTGCTGCACGACTCCCAAACCGGGTCACCGGGTCAACCGGGCGCCACACCAGTTTGGGTTGCTTACAGTGACACAGTAAAACCCTGAACGTTTCGTTGCTATACTGGTTGTCACATCATCATCCGTACAGACCCATACCTGATATGATGGCGGCTGTGTACAGCAAATACGTTCTACTGGAGAGACTCCCTATCCCATCATTTCCCAAGACAGATTCTCTCGTCTTCACTGGTGAGTCTGAGTCTGTTTTATTGCAGCACGAAAGTGTACAAGTTCTTCTGCCATTACTCCCCAGTCAGACCGCGTTCTGTTCATTTACTCACACGGTTGTTCGCACCCTTGATCGCTAGACTAACCATGCAGAATAGCTTAGGTGAGGAATATCTTCAACTGAGAACCCACATTGCGCGGCCCTCCACTGGAAAAGTAGTCAACAAACACAATGAAATCCACTAAGAAAGAAAGAATTATAAGAGCTTGATAGAAGAGGCAGGCAAAACAAAAATCAAGGGGCTTAATCCAGTTTCCCGGACCAAGCATAGAATCAGCCTATCGAAGAAGGATGAAGAACGACTCAAGAAACGAATTAACCAATCAAGGACAACCAAATTGCTCAGCATTAGGAAGAGAAAACCTCATTAAAAGTATGAGTGCAGCTGGGTAATCAAACTCAAGAGGGTCAGACTACGATACAATTTGAGAGGGAACCTATCAGACCGAAAGAAGATAACTACGACGAATAAAAAAGGCTATAACGACCAAAGGAATTAAAGGAAGGAGGATCACAACGCAAAACAATTCGAGAATGGACCAATCGGAGCGCGAAACAAAGTAATCCGAAAAGCAGCCATCCAACAAACCAGTGGGGCGACAACTTTGCGCAAATCGCGAAAGGACCAATAAGATTTGAAGACACGTAGATCCCCGTTATCCAATGGCATGAAAGGATATCAGTTAATTTTTGAAAACTATATAACCCCGCAGGTAAGAACGGTGTTGGACGAATTCTGTTCTATTGAGGACGAAGCTTTTGTAGGCCAGTTGCAAAGACCGGCGAACAGACCAATAGCCACTCGCTCAACCACCAATAATCTAACTCACCTTGGATCGGGAAAGTATTCCGTGGCACGTTCACTCCTGTGATTAAGAAGTGGCAATGATAAATTACATTGCTGTTGTACTATTGCACTATTGCTTTGCGTTATTGTTTAACTGTGTTCCACTAGACTAATCATTCGGGTAACCAGGACGTTACTGGAGGTGGGCTTCCTAAAAGTACGTTCCAAAAAAGAAGAAACCTTTTCATAGCGCAAGCAAACTTCAAGTAGTCCAGACAGGAAAATAAACATAGATAAAACAATGGAACATTTGAGAAATCATCGCTCAAGGAACCAGTCAGTACGCGACCACGTGATATGATTTCCTCAAATGGGCTACTAGCCGGCGGGTTGCGATTACGAATCACCGAGGAGATTCGTGCGATGCTGAAATAGGTGAAACGATGCTTCCAAGTCTTTCGGCACGGTTTGGCTTCACTTATAGGGGGAGTACTCCTAGAACCGCTGGCTTCACATAGTAACAAAGCAAAAAACCTCACTTCAGAAAAGCCTTTCTCGACCAGCATGTCTTGTAACTAACGGGAATCAACTCGCGAGCTGTCCAAGAAGCAGACTGGATCGCATTTGATACAGACGAAACAATACTGGGATCGAGACATCTCATTGGTTAATAGGGCCTAACCTTACGGAATGTCCTTGGTTCCCCCTGGTATCTCTACTGCTCTTATCTGGACTCTAACAGGCTGCTAGTATCTCAGCTATCCTTTCCTCGAGGTGACATAACAGCTAGGCACCGGAAGTGTGTTACAGCTGAACAATCATTATTAGTTG